GTGGCGGGATCAGATCGGGTGCAATTCCCACACTGTGTCTCTGGTGTTGTCCCCTGTAGGGCTATAGGTCAGTGAGGGAGGTCATGTCTCATTATTGGGGGCGGCCATGTGGTCCTCTCTGTGGACTGGCTGCTCTAATCCGGAACATCGTCCTCAAAACCTGGTGGGCCAGGATGTGCTCTACTCTCTCCTGCTCCCGCTTCATCTGCTCCCATGTGGTCTGATCAGATATGTCCCTCTCCTGGAGCTGCAGATTCAATGCCGTCCTTTGAAATCAATTCTTCTGGGGTGAGGTGGGCCTTCCCTTTTCATTGATTCTCTACTAAGCATGGTGTCCTTCTCTAGGGACAGGTCCTTCTTGATAATATGTCTAAACTACATGAGATGAAGTGTTGCCATCCTTGCTTGTAAGGAGATTCTGACAGTAATTTTCTCCTAGACATAAGTATTTATTCTTCTGACAGTCCATGGTATATGTACCATATACACTCGTGTATAAGCCGAATTTTTCAGCACATTTTTAATGCAGTTTTTGTGGTAAAATTAGGTGCCTCAGATGATATTCAGGTCAGCTTATACTCGAGTATATACAGTAATATTCTTCACCAACACTAATTGAAGGCATCAATTCTTCTTTAGACTTCCCTATTTATCGCCAGCTTTCACACTTACATGAGATGAATGAAAAAAAACCATGGCTTGGGTCAGGTGCACCTTGTCTTCAGAGTGATATGTTTGCTTTTGAAAACTTTAGAGAGATGTGTGGCAAATTTGCCCTATACAATACGTTGTTTAAGTTTCTGAATGTTGTTCTACTAATGGCTGATTCAATAAAATCGTATTTTTGGCAACTTCAACCTTTTCTCCGTTTATTGTGCTGTTTATTGGTTTGGGGGCGAAGATTTTGTTTTCTTGATGTTGAGGTGTAATCTATACTGCAGACCGTAGTCTGTGATGCTCATCAAGTCCTCTTTACTTTCAGCGCGCAAGGTTAGGTCACCTGGATATCACAGGTTGCTAATATGCCTTCTTCTAATCCTGTTGCCACAGTCTTCTTCAGATAGCTTAGGTTCCAGAGTTACTTCTTCGGCATAAACATTGAGTTAAGTATGGTGAAAAGTTACAACCCTGACACACATCTTTGCTGACTTCAAACCATACAATATCCCTTTGCTTTGTTCGAATGACTGCCTCTTGGTCTATGCACAGGCTCTACATGAGCATAATTAATTGTTGTGGAATTCGCATTGTTTCTAATGTCATCCATTTTTTTATCAGACAATTATAAGAATCAGATAATGTTCCACTGCTATTCTTAATGTTTTCAGTAGTCAATATTTTAGAAGTGGATCATTATATCCTTCTTTAGTTAATTTTTTTTAAAACTGGGGGCCCTTATAGTATTCCATACATCACTTGTATGAAGCATATTTGTACACATGTTGTCATCATCATTTTCTAGACATTTACTTTCTATTTGAACCCTTGGTATCAGCTCCTTTTCTCTCCCTTCACCCCTCTTCCACCCTCGTGACCTCTTGTTAATTAGTGTCTACATATCTTAGACCACCAGGTATCTCCCCTTCACCCACGTTTCTGTTGTTCATCCCCCTGGGTGGGGGAGTATTATTCCCCCCTTCCTCTCCTCCTCCCTCCAGCTTCCTTGTATCTGGCATCACGACTCCCATTTCTGTTCCTGGGGGTTTATCTGACCTGGATTCTGTGTGTCGGAGCTCTTATCACTACATCCTTCTTCTTAATCTTAGTCTGGAAGCTTCCTGAAACCTGTTCACTATTGGTGATCTTGCTGGTATTTGAAATACCTGTGTCAGAACTTTCAGCATCACAGCAACATGCAAGCCAGCACAATATGACAAACTGACAGATAAATGGTAGGATATTAAATATATTAAAGGGGGGGGGGAGCCTGTTTTAAGGGTCACAAAAATGTCTCTGTCTCCAGAGGCTATCACTAACAAAGTTTTAGGAGGCCCTGGAACCTGAGATTGAACAGTTTGGCCTCAAGATTCCTTGGGGCCCTAGGAAACTATCTAGTTCCAGAGGTGCTTTAAGACAGGTAATGAACCACACAGGGATGGGACTAACCAGTATCTAAAAGGAAGAGATAAGAAGATGCACCGAATCTGTTCTTTTCCTATCCTGAATTTTATTTTTGAGCTGACTGGGAAACTAAAGCAATTTATTGTACTCCAGATGACAAACTTCCAACTTACAGGTGAAGACTATAGTATAAGATATCTTATTAAGAGCTCCATTACTACCAAGGCTGAACAGAACTACTGATGCGTGCACATTTCTGATAAGCAAACCGATTCACCAGACCTCTAAGATGGTAAGATGAACATATCATTTACCAGTTGAAACAATAACAAGAAAAAACCATAATGCTTACCATATCATAATAGGCTGAAAACAAGGGAGATTTTTTATCATACAAGGTCTTAAATGTTTGCAAGCAGCTATCAAAGATGCAATTATTGGCATCTGGACAAAGAGGAGTGAAGAAATCAAATATTTAAGGAAATAATTAGTCCAAAGGACTAATGGACCACATGAAAATCAGTCTCTATTAGCCTGAAACTAGAAGAACCAGATGGTGCACGACTATCCCTACTAACCCATCTGATTAAGATCACAATAGAAAGTTCTGGACATGGTGGGAGAAGAGATGGAGCAAAACTCAAACCCACAAACCAGACCAGAATTACTGGTCTGACAGGAACTTATGGTACCCCCAACACTATGGCCCTTACACAGTCTTCAAACTGGGAACTGAATTCACTCCCAGGGATCACCTTTCAATCAAAAAACAGACCTTTAAAGTTAGCAATACCAAGCAAGAGGAAACATATTCTTCAGAACCATCAAAAGGGCACGGACCCAATAACAAGCCCAGAAAGCAAGAAGGTGCAGGAAAGAAGGACAAATGAAAAGGGGACCCTAGAGGAAAAGTGCAAAGAGTGATGTTACATCAAGAAGGATACAACCAAGGTTTAGAAACAAAGAAGTATAAATTGTCGAATATCAAACTAACTTGCTCTGTAAGCTTTCACTCAAACCACAATTTATAAAAATAAAGAACATTAGTAAACAAATAAAATACAATATAAAAATTTGGGTTTGCAAACTGATGATAGTTTAACAAAATTCAAGAATTTTGGTACTTTCATATAAAATAAAAACAAAAAGAAACAGCAGTTTCTCCAAACTGTAAGTCATAAATGAAATCACAAAGGAACAGAGTTGGAATGATCTTCACTCTTGATAGACCATACACTCAGAATTTTACTAACGCTGCTTTCTGAAGCATCTCCTGTGGATGGTATTGGGGATAGGGTACCAAATCAGAGGGCCTGCCACACCAGAACACACCAGTGGTTTGTCTGATTGGGATTTTCTTTTTTTTTTTTGGGGG